ATGAATTTTGAATTCCATCATCATTTTTATCGACAAGCATATATACAGTGTTGTTTCAAACAGTGTTTGAATAAGAATTTTTTTTCTTCATTTTCATTTCGATCGCCCACGCATACCAAAAAATAGAACCAATTTTACTGTTGTTGGGCCAACTATTGGGTATAACGAATCATTTTTATTTTGGATTCGGTCAAATCAATGGAATGTGTTTGTATGTGAACATAGTTCCAAACAGTATATTCTCTGTGTGTTTGGGTAACGATAATGCGTCATGGACCAACAATTTTTATTATCGACAATAAAAAGTACTGGAAGCATATATCGACAATAAATGAAAGAAAAAAAAAATACAGGAGAATATTTTTCAAGTAGCGGTAGTTTCATACCCAATTGAACCAAAACGGTAACGATTGTTCAATGAATTCCAAAATGCTAAAGAAAGACATGAACGAATGAAGAATTTTATCAAGTTAAAACAAACATAATGAACAATCATCAGTGAAAAATTCAAGTTAATTATCTTTATCATATTGAATAAATTTTTTTGTTTCAAAACAAAAAAAAATCAAAGTGCTAAATAATTCAGTCATAGTGGAAATAGTGGAATGATAGATGTTCATTTGATCAATTTGTTGATGAAATATTCCTGGGAAAATTATTATGAAACAAAAAAAAAGTTTGATTCTTTTCATTATTTTCAACATTGGAACTTTTTTTCCTTCGAACAAAATCCAACAATTTTTTTTTTGTCACAAAGCAAAATAATATCATTATTTTTCTTTATTCTACAATCAAATTTGTCACACTCGTACGCCATCTTGTAGTCGTGATCAAAGTTATATTTAAAACACGAAAAAAATACCGGAAATTTATCATCATCACCAGGAATCTATTTTTAGCATAAATCTAATATTCATTCATTCCAAAACAAACAAACACTATAAATAATTGTTTTGGTAGGGAAAATTTTTATTTCCAAGCAAATTTCGATTTATGATGATGATGATGATGATGATGAAAACACCAAACACACAATGAATCTTTCAATGATTTCCTTTATATTAATTTTATGATTTGATAATCAAAAAAAATATTCTGAATCAAAATCAAAAGCTTCAAATTTTTTTTCTTGTGTTATTGACGAAATGAATTACAAAATGGAAAACACACAAATCAAAATGTTTGATCCTAAATTTTTTTTTTGAAATTTTGCCAAATTTTCAAATGTGAATAGTTTAATGAAATGGCAGTAGCAACGAATTTCCGATTTCCATTTGAATTTTCCATTTGACATAAAAAATAGAATCAAAAAAAAAACATTTTAAAAATGGTGTTTTTTCCCTAAATGTTTCAATCATCATCAATGAATATATCCGAAAAATGATTGGAGGATTTTTTTTTTCGTTTTTGGTTTAAGATTTGAAAATTTGTCAAACATCTATGATTGAAAACATGAATAGAATATTTGGAACAAGACCAACACGCGTATGTCAATCAAAAAAGAGAAAAAATTCCTGTCAAATTTTTTTTTCTGTTGATCTCGAAAAAATTGAAACAATTTTCTTGGAAAATGGATCATAAACTTGAACGAATCCATTTTTGTTGTATCATTCATTCATTCATTTATTGATGACAAATGACTATAGTTAATTTTCATTTAAACTGATTGATAACAGATATTACTATATATGTGTGTTGCGTTTGGCTATTTGATTTCAATCAATCATGAACCTTGTCCAAAATCTAAAGTCTAAAAATTGATAGACATATATCATATCGTTGATGGTTAATGTTGTTGTTGTTGTTGTTGTTATTTCTGGTTGGCCATGATTTACAATATAGCCTATACAAAATAGCCAAAAATCTTCATATCGATTATCAAGATGAAAACAATGATAAATATTCAAAACCTGCAATAAATATGCAATATAACCAATTGCACTGAAAATGTAATCACATGTTTTTTTTCTCAGATAAATAGCGACTTTATTGATGATTCAAAAATCATGATAATTTGGTTGGTTTTTTTTCATTAAGATGTATCTTAAGCGGAAAGCAATTTTTTCAGGAAAAAATATCAACGAATAAGAAAGACTTGTTATCCTTCAGATGCGGCAGCAAATTATTTGAATATGGAACAAACGAAATGATAATGATTATCTATTTGATGAGATTGCCGAAAAAAACAACAACAACAACAACAAAATCAAAAACATCATTATCATCTGACTTTTTTTTCTTCATGTCAAAGTTCTTCTGATTAATAAAAAAAAAATGAATGACGAAAAGAAATATTGACAAAGATGAAACAACAACAACAACAACCTAATCAATCAATTATCACTAACAAAAAATAAGCATCCTATTGAATTGAACGAACCTTCGATCAATAGAGTCAGGAGAAAAATCTAGAAAATTTCAATTCATAAAACTTATTTATCATTATCATCAAAATTGATTTTTTTTTTTGGATTATTATCATCATCATCGATTGAGCTCAATGTAAATCCCCTATTTGATGAGTGTGTTTGCATTCGAGAATGATCGATCTGGTTATATATTTGATAAGATGCATTTTTCTTATGTTGTTGTCATCAAATCTACAAATGAAGATATTTTTTTCTATTAAAAAAAGCAAAACAAACAGAAAAAATATTTCAAAATCGGGAAAATCCTTTTATTTTCAATTCAAAAAAAAAATAAAATAAAATCCAAAATCATTGATATTTGATGTGTATGTATGTTTGTGAATCGATGAATATGATGAAAATGATCAAAGGTGCAAAAAAATCAAACAAGATACGAGATTTTTGACATTTGATGATTTGGCCATAATTTTGTTTTTTTTTTTTGCTTCACAATATTTGAACGGTTATTGAACGATTATCAAACGTAAATGAAAGAGGGAAAATTATGATGAGATTGATCAATAATTTGATTTTGATGAAAAAATATATAAATGAATGAATAGGCAAAATAAAAAGTTCAAATGAAAAAAAGTCTTTGTACTCGGATGTCTTAATGATGTGTGTGTGTGTGTGTGTGTGTGTGTGTGTGTGTGTGTATGCATGTTTGGTAAGAAGGGGTGGTTGATCTTAATGTCATCAACATGATCATATTTTTTTGTTGTTGTTGCTTTGGGATAACGGGATAACTTTGTTTTTAATTTCTGATTTTCATTCAAATTTGTTTATTCAATTCGGGGTTTTTTTATGAAAAAAATGTGTGTGTGTGTTTGTGTGATGGAAGGATTGATTAAATTATGATGCTGTTGATGATGATGTGGATGATGATAATGATAATGCTGTAGTGATTACTGATGTTTCCGTTGCTTTTGGTAATGTTGTCAATGTTGTTGCTGTTGTTGATTGATTATGATGATGATGATGCTGCTGCTGCTGCTGCTGATGATGATCATCATCATCAAATTCCGGTTTTATCAAACTAATTATTGATTCATTTTGATCGATAATTTCGGATTTAAAATTTTGTAATTGATTATTATTATTATTATTATTATTATTATGCTGATATGGATTTACATTTGATAAAAATGATTCAATATTATTACCATTAGTATTAGGATATTGATGATGTAATGAATGAATTATAGCAACAGTTGTTGTTTTACCCGTTAATAAAGGTGATGATGATGGTAGTGTTGGTAAAGATTTAACTGCTATAGCCGATATATTATTATTATTATTGTTGTTGTTATTATTGTTAACATCACCATAAATAAATGAAGATGATGCATTACGAAAATTATTTGCCAATGAATAAGAATTTGATGATTGTGATGATGTTGATGGTGATTGTGATAATGATGATTGTAATTGATGATTTCGATGATGATGGCCTAATTCCAATTGATTTGTTGACGCTGTTGTTGTTGAATATGGATTCAAAATTGTAGTAAAATTTGTTCGATTATTATTCATACTGTTGATTGTTTCAAAATCATAACCATAATGTGGATGTGGATGATGATAATAATTTGAATCTTTTTTTAATGTTGTCATCATCGATGTTGACATTGAAAAACCATTATTATTATTATTATTATTATTGTTATTAGAAGAATTTGTTTGAAAAAAATTCTGATTTAATGTTTCAACATTATTATTGATATTATTATTACTTGGCCATAATTGTGTAAATGGTTGTGCTGTTATCGTTGTATTTGTAATCGTTGTTGCTGATGTTGTTTTTGTCGATGCTGTTGTTGTTGTTGTTGCTGTTCCAGGAATATCAACAACAACATTAGGATTAGTTAAATAACGAAATGAAGAAGCCAAATGATCATAATCGATAATTAGATTTTCATTATGATTTAAATTTGAATCGATTGAATAAGTAGATTTATGTCCATTTATTTCCGCTGTTGTTGTTGTTGTTTTCGAAGATGATGATGATGATGGTGTTGTTGATGATTGGGCATTAGTTATCATGATAGAGGGTAATGGTGTTGATGTTGAAAAATGATGATGTTGATGATGATGATGATTCGATGATAACGGTGTCAATGACAATGAACCATTAAGATTCGATTGATTTGAATGATGAGCAAAGGTAGCATTAATTGATGGTAATGTAGATGACGGCGTTGTTATTGTTGTCGATGATGAATTACCGATTGGTGATGTTGATATAAGATGATGATGATGATGATGATATGGATATGTAGCTGTTAATTGATTTGTTTGATGATGATGATGATTATGATGATGTGAAAATTGATGTGGATTATTATCAGAATGATATTGATTGGAATAAGATGATATTGTCGATGAATTATTTATAAAATGATCATATTCATTTAATAATGATGATGATGATGATGATCCATTTATTGTTGTACATAATGGTTCCAATAATTGATTATTATGATGATTATTGATTGTTATTTCTGATTGACCATTTTCTCCATTATTATTATTATTATTATTATTATTATTATTATTATTATTATAGGAATTTATGATCAAATTATCATCGTTTTTATTATTATCGTTATGAGTTGGTGTTGAATTTGGTTCAATCATTGATTGTGGTAGAATAAAATGTGAGGGTGGTGAACGATGATGATGTGAATGATTAATATTTTTATCATCATCATCAATATGATGTTGATGATGATGATGATGATGATGGTGATTTGAACGAATATTTGTCGAATTAACCTGTTGCAATGTTTGACATTTACGACGAAAACCACGTGGTCGTCGACGATAGCTACCTTCTTCAAACATAAATTCACTTGCTGGATCGATTGTCCAATAATGGCCTTTACCTGGACGGCCAATATTTTTCGGTAATTTTATAAAACATTCATTCAATGATAAATTATGACGTACAGAATTTTTCCATCCTTGATAAGTGCCTGTTTTTAAGTTACAATTTTGTTTTCATATTTTATTAATTTCATTTATAATTTTCTATTTTAAAAATTCAGCAAATTTTTCAACAACAAAAAAAAAATCACTTACCACGAAAAAAGGAAAATTTTTGCTGCAAATAATGATAAATTTCGGATAATGTCATACGTTTTGTTTGGCTTTGTTGTATGGCCATCACAATCAATGCAATATAACTGTATGGCGGTTTTTCTGCACGTCGTGCATTTGATCCATTTTTTTTCGTTGTTGTTACTTCTTGATCATCATTAACTGTTTTGATATCAATCATCATTGTTGTTGTTGCTGATGCTGATGATGATGACGATGATGATGTTGATAGATTTTTTGGTGATTTAATACCGGAAATAGACATATTAAACAAACATTCAAAATGAACAAAACAAGAAACAATTGGAGAATCCGAAAAAAAAACAATGAAAATTTTCAAAGAATATTTATCACTGACGCGAGGAAATTATATTTTCAGTTTTTTTTTTGAAAGTTTGATTTATTTTGTATGTGTTTATGTGAAATAATATGACTGACTGGCTGCAATTGATTGATTTCATTTGATTTAACGATGAAAATAAAAGGAAAAAAGAAAAAACCAAAAATGATAAATATTGTAGATTGGCAAGAAAAAGAAAAAGAAAGATAAGAAAATTGAAAAGATTTTTCTTTACAGTTCATTGATGGATTTGGTTTTGTTTTTTGGGCGCGAAATCGAACAACAACAAAAACTACAGAAAATTTATTAATTGTTTTCATTTGTTTAATGATGATAATGATAGGTAATATGTATGATGTGCATTTGATTGGATACTTGAATTTTTTTACGTTTGTTTGAATCGAAATGAATTTTTTTGGAAGAAAATTAAAAAATTTTAACGATTTTTAATAATATCTTGTGTGTGTGTGTGTGTTTAATCAATAAAATCAATCAATGATAATTAAAATGATGATCGGTCTTTGTCACCGTATAATCATATCATGACGGCCATCAACATTATTGACAACAAACAACAACGATGATGATGATGATGATGATGATGAGAAGGGGGAGGAAAAAAGAAATTTTTTTTTTGTTGTTGAAATCAAAAAAAAAAAAAAAAAAAAAATTAAAAAAAAAAATTTTAGGTTGAGCATCGATGATATAAAATGATTGATTTTTGGGGAGGATTTTCAACAA